GCGGCGGGACCGCGGTGCGTCTCGGTCCGCCGCCCGCGTCTTCCTGGTCTGCTGGGATGGGGTGGGAGGGCGCAGCTAGTACGCCCCCCCAGCAGACTAGGCTTTTCTCCGGACGCCTGTGGCAGAGCAGCTGGGGCGCTGCCGGTTGGTCCAGTAGCGCCGAGGAGCGGTGCTACTGGAGCAACCCAGCAGCACCCCAGCTGCTCTGGTCCTGATTCAGCCGCTGCTGGTCAGTTTCAGCAGCGGCTAAATCAGGACCCCTCGGGCAGAGCAGCTGGGGTGCTGCTGGGTTGGTCCAGTAGCGCCGAGGAGCGGTGCTACTGGAGCAACCCAGCAGCACCCCAGCTGCTCTGCCCGAGGGGTCCTGATTTAGCCGCTGCTGAAACTGACCAGCGCTGACTACAGGAAGCCCGAGGCAGAGTTGCTCTGCCCCGGGCTTCCTGGAATCAGCTGCTGATCAGTTTCAGCAGCAGCTGACTTGGGGACGCTTGGGGTTCTTAAGTTGATTCTGTATGTAAGTCAGAATGGGCGGTCAGTTTCAGCAGCGGCTGAATCTGGAGCCAGTTCCGACTTACATACAGATTCAACTTAAGAACAAACCTACAGTCCCTATCTTGTACGTAACCCGGGGACTGCCTGTATTCCATAGTCCAAAAGGAGTGCTGTGCATATTGGAAGTTTTCCCAATAACATAAATCTGCTTTTCCTTTATGTAATATCATTAATGCTGGTTCTGTCTCACTTTTAAAAGAAGTTGTGGATTTTTTGGAATTGGACGTAACACTTGTTTCATAGTTATATTTAAGAAAATTGAACCGCTTAAATGATTGTTGCAGCAATGTAAAACAATTTGAAGTATCTGTCAGTATCTGACTAGATGTTATGTAGTTGAAATGAATAATTTAAATATGCTTGCTTTCTGTGCAAATGTGGGAAACTGAGCTGAAGTGGATTTCCATCAGTTCTGTCAGGCAGAGTGGGGGGAGCTCTGACTTATAGGGAGTAGGTAGCAGACAATGAAAAAGGAAAATAGCTTATGTAGTGCAGTGGGTTAACAGCAGTGTATAATTGAGGATATATATGTTCAACTCTGAACGGAGAATAAATTAAAAACAGCGGATCTCATCATATTTTCTCTTTCTGTATATCACAAGCAGAACGCAGCTAGACACAACACTGTCTTAAGGAGAGAGATCAGGACTGAAAGAGCAGTGTGTTTTAGGTCAGGACTGATGAGTGAATGGTAAAGTTGCATAGGGAAGTTTGCATGGTGTTGCATGGTATTACCTATATTTTTACCTGGCTTACAAATTGCACACAGCAGAAGAGTGCTGTAATTAAATCCATGTCTAAACAGAAAAGTTTTTGTTATTGGAAAACAAACCAAACACACTGATACCATTATGTAAGAACTAAGTTATGCTTTAGAAAATAGAATGGGGAAATAAATGTGATTAGGGAATAATTATGTTCCGGTTTAGCAGTAGTTCAGTACCGTCTGTTCTATCACTTCTTTTAAATACTGTATCTAGAATTCTACAAAATACTTTACAAGGATTCAGGAATTGAATCTTAAAATTCCTTAAGTATCCAAAATAATAAGTAGGATTAGCAAATATTATGAAGTGTTTATAAATAAGTATTAGAGCTTTATTATTTTTTTAACTGTAAAAAATACTTTAAATTTTATTCAAGTAACTGAGTACACAGTGTGGTTAATGTGTGTGAAGTAATTATTCAGGAATTTATCTCTCTGTGGTATGTAATTAATGTATTTTATTGGCAGGTAAAAAGTAAGACAATGGCAGGCAACAATCAGCTTTGCATCCGACGTTGGACTACTAAGCACGTAGCCAAGTGGCTAAAGGAAGAAGGCTTCTGCGAGTATGTGGACATTTTATGCAACAGACACAGACTGGATGGAATTACATTATTGACACTGACGGAATATGATTTGCGATCCCCTCCTTTGGAAATCAAAGTCCTGGGGGATATCAAAAGACTAATGTTGTCAATACGCAAATTGCAGAAACAGTATCTTGAGGTGTTAGAAGAGTTGGGTTATACCAGTGATAGCCCTATTGGCACAATGACGCCTACCGTTGGCTCCCTTCAAGGTACGGATTGGTTTTGTAATGGTGAAGTACCACGGGACTGTGGACCAGTTACTGACCTGAATGCTGATCAGTATCAATACACAAATGGGAAAAACAAACATTCTATGCGAAGACTGGACCCTGAGTACTGGAAAACAGTCTTAAGTTGTGTATATGTTTTCATAGTGTTTGGCTTTACATCATTTGTCATGGTTATAGTACATGAGCGAGTACCAGACATGCAGACATATCCACCTCTACCAGACATATTTCTAGACAGGTAAGTACTTGTTCAGAAACAGAACGATGGTGTCAAATCACAAAATTCTTACACCTTTTTATAGATGCTATTTTGAATTTAAATACTTTTCATAATCAACCTTCAATATCTAAGTCTTGTCATTGGGACATCACATTTCTAAATGTATTAGCCGACAGTTTAGTTTGAAATGTGCTCCAATTTCAAGAGATTGAAGGAATATAAATTTAAGTCTTTTGTGCACAAAGAAATTGAGCTGTTAACTTTACTGTTACTACTGTACAATTGGATCTTTAATGAAAACTGCTGTGATTAGTTTTACTTCCTTAGCTAAATGGTTACTTAAAAGATGTGTATGTTACCTGACTAGACTGTCCCTCCTTCCCACACTCCAAGTAAATTGATTAGTAAAGAATCATAACTCCCCATTATTGAAATCTCTTAACTGACAATAGTTGTTGTTTATCATATTGCAGATAGAGCTTTCATTAACTAGAGGTACAAGATCTTCTTCTTGAGTACTGCTTCGGTCATGTTTTTAAAACCTATTCCCCTGGGGAATTGGGATACTTTACTTCTAGGTGACTTACGGTGTAGTGCTGCCCTTTCTTCTTTTCTGTGTAATAGCTGTACAGTTTAATTTAGTTTGTGCTGGTGCTTCACAAAACAGAACTGTAAGTAAATTGCAATTGATGGCAAATGAATGTTGCAGAGTTGGGAGCAGAGGAAGAGTATGGACAGAAAGCAAGGCACTGAACTGGGGAAGTGGAAGAGATGGTATTTTAGACTAAGTGCTCTGAGGAAGTAACTGTGTACTTTGTGTATGAACAATATCTGCATGTTATGGATGTTACTGGAACACGGAGTGATAAGAGTTTTGGGATGGACCGACAAGCCTCTGTAGTGAGGTTATTTAAAAATGTTTATAATAGGCTGGTCCAAACCAGAAGTGGTGTATGTGTGGTCCCCACAACAAGTTGATACTATTCAGTGTCTGTTCAAGTCATTTTTCAGAATTGCAGAATTTGTTCTCTGAATCTCATTCTTTGAGGCACGCAGTACTTGTACAAGATTACAACCACTTCTGTGCACTCAAGTGCAGATGTTTCCCTTTAAAACATTTTCAGCCATGCAGTTTTCTGCCACCTTGTGATAATCTTTGAAGTAGCTATGCAATGTGTTTAGCATGCTGAAGAGAGATGACAGTCCTCGACAACTGGAATGCTGGAGAACTAAAGCAACCTAAATGTTAATACCAGGTTCAGTTTTATTTGTAATTGATACTCCAAGCTCACTTTTCTTTCTGGGTAGGATGAAACTGAACTGCTTCCTGCTAGACCATACATCTGCAGTGGAGAAAGCTTTATTGAAACCAAGCAATGTTTTTATCCTCCTTTACCCTATGAATGGGATAAAGTTTGTGGTTAAAACCGGAGACTAAAGAATTATAAGCTGCAAATGTAGATGAGGCTAAATGTCTGTCCATCTGCTAATCACTGAAGACCAAATACAGTTGTCACAACTACAGTGATTAAACTATGTTGCTAATCTATAATGTATTTCTCCAACTCCCTTTGTTCTGTATTGGTTTAAACAAAATGTTTCTTATTCCCCTTTTATCACTTCTTAGGGGCTGGGATACTTCACAATAATTTGGCTAAGACTTTGAAAGGAGCTGAGGGAGGTTTCTAAGATAGTTTACATTGGACATTATTTTGTGGTTGGCTGCTCAGCAGATGTGATAAGGAACATCAGGTCTGCTGATGTAGAAATCTTGTAGTGATCAGCTGTTGTTTTCCACCTTTAGCCAAGAGGTATAACTGGTCTGTGCCTGAATATGTCTGAATATTCTAATTCTGCATTTAGCAAATGGTTGTGGTAAGCAGCTGTTGATAAGCAGCCCAGGCATTTCTTAAACATGGGTATTACCATAAAGTTTGGACTGGTATAGGAAGTTGTTTGGAGAATGCATAGAGGCATTTGTTTAACAGAGTATCTATGATAGCTGGACTGAGTGCTAGTAAGAGAGCCATTAAGTCTAGGGGAGTGATCATGTCTCTTTCTTTGATTGCCAATTTGTGAAAGTTGTTTTAGAACAATGTTGTGAAACACAATTGGCAGGTAGGCTATCCCTCTAACTATGGCGACTTTCTGGCTTGGGTTGGGGGAACTCTCTCAGTGCTCTTACGTCCCTGCTTCAGCTGTGGTCACACTTGAATTCCTACACTTTAATTTTAGAAGCGTAGACAAAGCCTACAAACACATGCAGTAATAGTGGCCATCTTGTAGACTGTGCAGCACTACTTTTAATGTCATCAGAAATTAAATATATATATTTTTAAATCTGGAGAGAGCAACTGCTAGAGCTAGTTTGTTTCATGTGAGTTCAGTGTGGAATAAATGCTCCATTCCAAGAAATTCACACACTATATGCTACAGACTTATAATAAAATGCCCCCAAATAAAATATGGTCTTTATCGGGAGGGGCTGAGTCCTGCAGCCTTTAGTCTTTACTTCACAGGTAGCTTCAACACAGTCAGTGGGACCAATTGGGTGAATAAAAGCTGCACAGTATGACGTGGATTTAGACATTACTCAGCAAGTGATGAGCAAAGGGAGAATGACGGTTGTGACAAGACTGAATACGAGCATGTGTTCCCATACAGAAGCACTGTAATCACAGTGCTGGGAAGGGCCAGGGTGGTGAATGGTAGGGAGCAGAAACAACCCAAACATTGTCATAGGATTACAACAGAGCCAGTGTCTGAGTAATGGCTTTTTTTTACCTTTGTGTTGCAAAGAGGACATGTGACTCTGAGAAAAAGCTCCAGCTGAACTCTGTAGCAATTTCTGTTCTGATGAGATTGGGAAGTGCAAATTACTGGCAGTACAAGTGCTCTGGGAAAGGAACGTTGGCGAGCAAGGCTGGCGAGGTTCAGACACAATCATTCTATAGTTGAAATCTAATTTAAAAAAATGCTTTGTAACTTCTCAACAATTCACTGATCTACAAAAGACGGGGCACCAAGGGGACAGAAACTGACTTGAAGTGGCTTTTGTTGGAGAGGGTTTATTCTGCAGCTAGCAACAGCTTACCATTTAGCTTTCTAAATTTTTAACTGATACCCCAAGAGTACTGAATGGAGAATTTTTATGTGACTCTCTTCCCCCTCCCCAATAAAACCGCAGCAACATAGCAGTGCACCTCAGAGTCTGGATCTGCAGACTTAAACATGAGTTATAGTGCTAAGAATAGCTGTGTAGATGTTTGGGCTCCTATACGTTTCCCCTGGCCCTCAGAGCCTGAGACGAAACATCGACATGGCTTTTCTTAGCGCCCGGGATATTCTGATTTGGAGACATGCCCTTGGTGGTTTCTCTCATATGTGGGAGAAATACCAAATACACAAACTGTTGTTCAGCGCAATTGTACAGCAAAGGCACAGTGATCCTTGTATATTACGTAGTGTTGAGCATGTTTCACATACTTTTAAAATAATAGCTTTTCAAATATGAAAGTTGTTGGTTAATTAAAGTGTATTTCTGCAAAAACAGGAGATTAATAGTATTCTGGGTTTTATTTCACGCCCTGCTTACTGATTGTGACTTTGGAAAAGTTGCTTAACTTCAAAGCTTTAAACTTAAAAAACAACAAATGGTCTGGTAGCACTTTATAGACTAACAAAACATGTTCAAAGCTTTAGTTTATCTACCTCATGTAGGTGGTGTGACATTTCTTTCCCACTGCATATATCTTGACTGAGATTTTCAAAGGAGTTCAGGACTTAGGTGCTATTGAAATTCAGTAAGCACTGGAAATCTAACCCTGGCGTCTCTGAAAATTCCAGTATATATCTAAACTTCAGGAAAACGTTAAAACTATACCAAATGTATTCTATTATTCCTGTATATGTGAGTTTCTTAACATTAGGAAGAGAGAAGGACGAGAATTGAAGAAATAGTTAGGACCACTGCTCTGAGCCACACACCAAGTGCCTCTCCTGACTAGTGTATACCAAACATGTTGGAAATAATGAACTTCAACTAAACGATTACATTAACAAGAGCTGTATTTAACCTATTACCTTTGGACAAAACTCCCACTGCGACGAATGAAGATCTTTTGTCGATCAAGTCGGCTTGAAAACCTAGTCACCGTACCTAGGATGTTTTTATATTTGCAGTCCAAGTGGATAACCCTCTGACTTGCAAAGGGCTGTGGGGCTGCTGCATCTTTTCTCAGGAGAGTAGGAAGCTGGGGAATTACAGCTCCAAGTGCTATTGATCCTTTTTAGAAAAAATGGGGTTGCAAGTAGGGATGTAATAGTGTAGTCGATAAATCGATAAGCAGAAGCTTATCAGTTAATGCTATAGACTACATGCATTCCTCCTCCCCTGCCAGTAAATTTTTTAGCAGGCTGGCCAGCAGCTGGGTCCAGGACCTATCTCCACTGCAACTCTGCATTTAAAGAATATTAGGAACCATACAAGCAGGTAGTCCGACTTGCGCTGGGTCTGGGAGCTCAATCCCAGACAGAGGCAGCAGCACAGGGCGACAGGCAGCTGGTCCAGGAGGGGAGCTGGTTTTTAAACTGGCTCCCCTCGCAGACCAGCTCACGCCTGGCGCCCTTCACTGCTGCCTCTGATACAGAGACAGCAGCGTGGAGTGGCAGGGGCCTCCTTGGGAGTGAGGCTGGACTGCACTGGCTGCCGGCCCCACCCCCGGGGGTTGTTGAAGAGTTAAGTAACCGATAATTCATGAGGTTAATCGACTATTCAGTTAACCGATATTTAATATCCCTAGTTGCAAGGAGTCAGGAACCCAAATGAAGCTGATAGGTTGAGTTGTAGGATTGGAGGAGAGAGCAAGCAGATAAATAACAGGAGAAATAGTGCATGGGGATGTTATGGGGAAGGGAAGGATGGGGCAGAAAACCACGTGGGGTAATACCAAAAGATCCGTTGGGGGTGGAGAGGGAAGAAGCAGGAATAGACTAATGGTACTGCAGGTAATAATGCACTAGTAGCATTTTTCTTAGAAAATGAGTGGCATGAAGTGAGGAAGGAAATGGGGGAGTTTTAAAGAAAGAGGCCTTGTAACATGTATTATAAATGAAAAGCCGACACTGTGCTGAAGTATAGACGAGTGCACAATAAGCTGTGCACGGTCCTCTTATAAATTACAGAGGGTTTTGTTTTGAGCGAATGGTAGCTTGGGTCCCTTTCCACATGGTTAGTGTATTGAGTCTTCATGTTACAGTCCTGCAATATGAACTCTGCCTACACTCTACAATATGAACTCTGCCTAATTTCGCCTTTATCACAGAATGAGTTTGGTCCTGTCCTCCTGCTTTAAAAATGACATTGAAATTGAAGTGCTGTAAGAACTTTATGCTGATTGGGTTTTTATGGCAGTTACAATATAAGTGATACATTGTGTGAGTGAGTGTGTCAGGGTGAGTGATATTGTTTTGCAGATACATTATAAAGAAAGTACTAAAACGAACACTTTAAGATCAGTAAAGAAATTCTAGTAGGAAATCCATGTAAAACATAGATTTTGGCCTTAGATCAATTTCACTTTATATGTCCTTTATAACATTTCAAAAAGGAATTGGGAAGGGAGGAAATAGATGAACTAGAGCCTAAGTCATTACTAAGTCTGTCAAAATAATGTTCTCCGTTCCATGAAAGTTTTCAGTGTTAGCTTTTATCAATTTCAGAGGAATGCAATACAAGAGACTAGTACCAAAGAAATCATGGCCAAAACTTTCAAATTTGGATGCTTCTAGGTTATGGATATAAGATGTGAATTAGTAAGCATTTGTTTTACTGGTTAACTCGCCTTAACCGTTAACCCCCGGTCTGGCTGATCTGCTCTTCCCGGTGGCCGTGTAACATCTGGCGGACTGGAGCAGCCCCAACTCCTCTCCCTTAATCATTACAATTAAGTATTTTTAATTGTTTAAACTAGTAACTTTTAAAACATTTGCATCCCTAATGTAGTTTCATGTATTTAAGAGAGCAGAAGGACTAGGGATGTAAAGGTGTTTAACCAGTTAACTGGCAAGCCTCACCCTTAATGGGTGAGGATTACTGATTAAGGTTAACCCATGGGTGCTAGAGCAGATCCCTGCCTGCTGAGGACAGGGGTCTCCTCCCCTGCACTTTAATCGGTTAACTGGTTAAACAATATGTTTAACTGGTTAGCTAATTAAATGGGATTTTAAATGGGACCTGTAGATTCTCTAATCTGACCTCCTGTATTACACATGCCACAGAATTTTACCCAGTTTTGCTTGCATTGAGCCCAATAACTTGTTTGACAAAAAGATCTGCTAAAAACGTCTACAGTCTTGATCTGAAGACTTTTTAAAAAAAACCCAGAATATACTACTCACCCTGGTATCTTTTTCGGTGGCCACCCTCACTATCCTACGTTTGTGCTTAATTTCTCATTTGAATTTCTGCCTTTAATTTCCAGTGATCAGTTCTTGTTGCACCTTTTTCAGTGAGGTTAAAGAGCTTTCTAGTACTTGATATTTTTCCTTGTGGAGGTACTTGTACCCTGGTAGGCACCTACATCTTATTTTGTCACCTAAATCAGTTGTTTCATTTTCAAAAAATAGCTGAGCACTTTGGGTTGAGCACTTGCACTTTCCATATACTTCTGTGGGAGCTGCATGTACTCAACACCTTTACAAAATTAGACCATTAGTTCAGGTGCCTAATTTAAAACACACACATTGAAAAAAGTTAGCTTTTGCTATATAGGTTTAACTTTTCCCCTTTGCTTCAGTGTTCCTAGGATACCATGGGCCTTTGCCATGACTGAAGTTTGTGGCGTGATTCTCTGCTATATCTGGCTCCTGGTCCTTCTCCTTCACAAACACAGGTACAGTACATTCAATTAAAAGAATGCTTAATTGAGAAACATCTGTTGGCATCCTAACCCCAAAATGGAATGTGACTGGAATCAATCACAATAACTAGCCAAAACCTTACCTTTAAGCATGAGTGTTATTTACACCATTACGATGGGATCAGGGTGCCTCGGTTCAGTTCTCCCTTCCACCTCCCAGAAATCATTTCTTTGCTTCTTTTTGTGTGCCTTCAGGGTACCACCATTTTCTGCTACTTTACTTGCATCAGAATCGCTTGTTGCCACTGTGTTTTTCAATGCTGGTGCACTTGGGATCCTCTCAAACCAATTTGTCCCACCTCTTGAATGTCCGTTTCTAAATGACCAGCCTGCTTATAGGAACTGGGTATACCTGCCCCAGATTGGGGGATGAGTGACGTTTGTTAGACATGACTAGCTTTACCCTTTTGGGGGGGGGGGCGTGTGTGCAAACATTTCTTCCAACTGTTGTGTTCTCTTTAATCCAGGGATGCCTGTGTGTCACCCTGCAGGGCACTTTTCCAGAAGCTTCTAAATTCTTCTCTGAATGTCTAGCAGATACGTGGCTGATGGCAACTTAGTTCCCATTAGATAACCAAGAAAAATAGTTTTGCACGTCTTACACTTAGAATAATCAATTTCTTTGTAGTTGGGTTAGACTTGACCTTATCAGAACTTCTGTTCTTTTCTAGAGCGGCATAACATGAACTACTGAGGCAAAGCAGACAAAAAGCTCCTTTGTTCCTTTTTGATCACAGAGCAATCATGAACTTGCTTACCTTAAGCAGATCAGTATTTAAATTTATCATAAATTTGGGAAGGTCAACTAATTTTAGTATTGCTGTGGCTTGTGTTAATGTTTTAAAACACTTCATCTCAACCTTTAAGAACCCTCTGGGCAGCTTGTGGTTGAAGTACAGTACTTGCTTGTGTGTAGGACCTCATTTAAAAATTGTAGCTCCAAAGGAGAAGCATCTGTTGTTCTGAGTGCTCTTGTATGCAGTGTCTGCATTGTTCCTCCTTTGTTGAATAGGAGATAGAACTTGTCCCCTCAGTCTGAGGGGGGGAAAACCATATGAGTGTTGTGGACCTGGAGGAAGAAACATGTGGAGATGAGGGGTTATGTTTTTCTGAAATGAGGGCTGGTGTTACTGAGTCTTGACCTGTCACTTTTTATTATGGACCAATTGTGGATGCAAATACTGAATTCAGAGACACATTGATTCCTGAACTGGGGATGTCACCTTACTGGGTGGTGCTTACGGGTTAACTGGTGGGCCCAGCCCATGGTGTAGGGCCTGGCAGGAATGGCCCAGAGTGCCGTGGGTGGGAGGCCGCTCGTTCCAAGGTAGGCCTCCCTGCTTGTGGGATCCTCTTTAAGCAGTTCACTGATTAAACAGGATCTTACATCCCTATCCTGAACCCTTTTGTGCAGTGGATTGCATATTTTTGTCAATCACTTTCACCATGACACACAATTTCATTCAAAAATATTACTGTTTCTTGAGGATGCCAAGACATAAAACAGCATTGCTAGTTGAAAGAAAGATTAAAAAGAGAGAAACTTAATATGGTGCTAAACTAACTTTGGAAGTAATTGTTGTAGTTCAAGAAATCGGTATCCCATTAAAAATAATGTATTCTAGGAATATTTTAGAAAAGAATGCTGTCAATTCTCATAATTCTCTTTTTCACATTTGATTTTGAAAGTTATTTGAATTCTTATGACTCTTGTATCCTTTTCTGTTTTCCCAGGTCTATACTGTTACGCAGACTGTGTAGCTTAATGGGGACTGTGTTCTTGTTGCGCTGCTTTACAATGTTTGTTACCTCACTCTCTGTGCCAGGCCAGCATCTGCAATGTTCTGGAAAGGTAAAGGAATATGCTTCAGTGTTTTGTTTTCTGCTGATTTTTTTGTTTTATCTGTCAGATTTCAAGTACTGCGATAAGGATAGTCGTATTTGGAGTGTACTTGTAAGGATCTATGTCAGGGTGAGCAATCGGCGGATTGCGAGCTGCACGCGGCTCTTCAAAGAAAAGATTGCAGCTCCCGCACCCACGGCTCTGAAAGGGGCAGCGTGTTTCTGTCTGAAAGAGATAGTCAGAGTTGCGGTGCCCCATGCAAAATGACCGCTTTAAAAGGGCAATGCCTATTCTGTTCTTAAAAGGGTGGCGGCCAGGGCTTTTAAAAAAAAACTGTTCTTAAAAGGGTGGCGGCCAGGGCTTTAAAAAATTTTTTTTTTTCCCCGCAACTTTTTTCCCTCAGCTCTTTGCGCTGTATCCAACACAATTTTGGCTCAGCATCTGTAATGGGTTGGCCACCCCGATCTATGTAGTTAGCTGCAAACTTTTGCTTATTAAATACAGACTCTCTTGTGTGCAGGGGCATCACATCAAGAATAATGAAGTAGGTAGTTACTTACATCAGGTTTTTTTAGAAAGTGCCTAACACACTGCATAAATATTGGGGCTTTCAGGTAGTACTCTATGCAAACAAGAGATGATTGATCAGAGGAAAACATTTGAGTGACTAAAGGGGCTGATTTATAAGCAGCGATTGAAAATTAAATATTTATACCTCATCTAACCTGCTAAGATGACATAGTTGCCAAGTATTGGAAGGATGGAAACATCAAGGAGAGAAAAACTTCAGTAGGGCATAAGGACATAAATAGAAATAAAGGGGGGGGGGTGAAGTTATAAAACATGCTTAGGCTGACGATTGGGAAAACCTTTTTGACTGACTCATTAGGCTGTGGAATAAATCCTCAAGAGAATGGGTAGAAGCTCCATGATGTGACTCATTTAGTAGCTGTGGATTAAATCACAGAATGTAGAGAAAGGACTTATCAAAGGTACTTTGTGTACCTCTATAATTACAGTTCTAGATCCCAGTTATGCCAGAATAGAATCCATGGGGCTGTTCTGAAAATCTGTATTGGCAGTAAAAGTTAAAAATGGAAATGGGGGATATGAATTAACTATACAAAGTACAAGGCTGCAACTGAGCTTCTATTAGACGTAGTTGGATTGTAGTAAGATGTATTTTTAGCAGTGACTTAAATATGAATGTTGCTGTTTTAATTTTAGTTGTACGGCAACGTGTGGGCAAAACTTCAGCGAGCATTTGCAATTTGGAGTGGTTTTGGAATGACACTCACTGGAGTACATACATGTGGAGACTACATGTTCAGTGGCCATACTGTTGTCCTAACTATGCTGAACTTCTTTGTCACTGAATGTAAGTACAGTGCCAATGGCCAAACACACATGTGAGTATTATGGAACATAAGAATGGCCAGACTGGGTCAGACCAAAGGTTCATCTATCCCAGTATCCTGTCTTCTGACAGTGGCCAATACCAGATGCCCCAGAGACAGTGAACAGAAATGATAATCATCAAGTGTTCCCTCTCCTGTCATCCATTTCCAGCATCTGACAAACAGAGGCTAGGCACACCATTCCTATCCACCCTGGCTAATAGCCATTAATAGATCTAACCTCCATGAATGTATCTAGTTTTTTTTATTTAACCCTGTTAAAGTCCTGCTCTTCACAGCATCCTCTGGCAAGGAGTTCCACTTGTTGACTGTGCACTGCTTGAAGAAAAACTTCCTTTTGTTTGTTTTAAACCTGCTACATATTAATTTCATTTGGTGACCCTTAGCACTTATGTTATGGGAACAAGTAAATAACTTTTCCTTATTCACTTTTTCCACACAAGACATGATTTTATAGACCTTGATCATATTCCCCCCCCCTTAGTCATGGAGATGTGACAATGGCTGTAAGTAAGGGTTCAGGAGGTATATTCCCTCCCTATTTTTTTTCTTCTGTTTTCAAAATCTTCTTTTATGACTGAAAGCTTTCATGATTAATGTTGAATAGGAGGCAGAAGTTACTTACAGAGAACTAATAGAACTTACAAAGAACTAATTTTGACCAATCTTGGCTATTTCTAATGTGCCAATTGCTGAAGAATCTAGGTTTCCTAAAAGATTAGCATGTAATAGACTTAATAGGATTTTCTTTAGAGGTTTTTGCGATATAGTCACTTGAGCATCTAAAGCAGTAGTTCCCAAACTTTTTGGCATCATGCCCTTTTTGGTTTTTGAGAAACCCTCACCCTGCCTTCCCCCGCCTCCCCCCCAAAAAAAAGCAGCAGCAAAGCTTGTTGAGCAAAAAAAGGAACTGACCGGGGCTGAAAAACAGTTACGGCCCCTTTAATTCCTGGGACCAGTGTGTGTATTTAAAAAAAAAAGGGGGGGGGGGGCCAGTACTCCAGGGGAAAAGTTGTTGACCCTCTTCCCTCCCCCCCCCAAAAAAAAGGTTGCCCTTTTAAGACCAGAGCAGGCAGTGCCCTTTTTAAGGCAGCTATTTTGAAGTCTGCCTGGGATGCAGTAGTCTTCCCTTCCTCTTCCACTGTCCTTACCCACGCTCATACTTTCCCTTTCTCTGTTACTTTCCTCAGTGGGTATTCAGATGTTATTTTAGAAGTCACCTCCATGTTGTGCTATCGTCATCCAGTCCCTACTCCCTTTGTGTATGTCCTCCTTCTTTCCTGCACTGTTTTCTTGCATCTCTGCACGGTGTATGTGAGCAGTAGATTGAAATTGACTGGAATCCTGATCTTTAAAGCAGTGGCATGTGCTTAGTGACGGGGATTGGAGTTAGTTTTATTGTGGTGCTAAGGCATGCAAGTTGAGCAAAAGGCAGTGAAAGCAACTTCAGAGCCGGAGGGGAATCATGTCATATTGAGAAACAGCACGTCAGGTACTTGGCCATGATTCTGTTCTTACAAGGTGTGTGTGAATGGCAACCCTCTGATGTGCACCCGCATTTTTTAATGTAATATTTTGAAATAGTACTCTATACTTCACTGCCTTGTGCTGTGGGGATCCTTTTAAGTGATTTCTCACTTTTCTTTTGTGTTGAACTCCTTTGAGTACAAATCAAAACACTTGCTACAAAGCCTAAATAATGCAACAAATTTAAAGCAGTAATGTTTTAAAAAAAAAAAAAAAAAAGAAGAAAAAAGCAAAGTCCAAAATTCCATGTACATTGAAAATGCCAAAGCTCTGCTGTAGATGAGTATATTTTATAAGGTCATGTTAATAATTCAAAATGTGATATTTTAAAAATGCATTTAACAGCAAATTAAGTGAGCTGGCTTGACTTGGCATTGTAACTGAATTACTTGAAAAACAGTTATATTCACCTGGAAACTTCTCTCTAAGTTTGCCATATCTACCCAGATCTGTGTAGTTGCCACTGGAGAAGATATTCTGTTTGTGGTCATGTCATGTGTTACTGTTTAATATTTCTGTGGACTGTTAACCCCTTTCACTCCTGTGGTTGTTGATGGGTGAAGTGATTCATATTCCTAATTCTTAAGTGTTCTGATTCAATTCATTGGGCTGCACATATGAGTACAGGATCAGGCTCCTATTTCATTCAGCCCTTCGAATTGCTATGTAAATGTAAGATCATGTCAGGTGTCTGAGAGTAGGTGTAGTAAACTTGCTAAGAGCATGTAAGATCATGTCAGGTGTCTGAGAGTGGGTGTAGTAAACTTGGTTTGTGAAACCTTCTGTGTCTCTTTTAACTTCATACTTTGTCCTTTGCTAGATACACCAAGAAGCTGGAACTTCTTGCATACTTTATCCTGGGTCCTGAATCTCTTTGGGATCTTCTTCATTTTGGCTGCCCATGAACATTACTCTATAGACGTCTTCATTGCCTTCTACATCACCACAAGACTCTTCTTGTACTACCACACATTGGCTAATACCAGAGCGTATCAGCAGAGTAGGAGAGCGAGAATTTGGTTTCCTATGTTTTCTTTTTTTGAATGCAATGTTAATGGTACAGTTCCCAATGAGTACTGCTGGCCCTTTTCAAAACCTACAATAATGAGACGGTTAATTGGGTGAAGAGCACCTAGTTTAATCCGAGTTAGTATGAAGTATCCATTATGAAACCGCTACAGAATTAGCTGGAAAAATAAGAAAATACCTTTTTCCATCCCTGTGGTCTTCTCATGTTCCACTTCTTAGATTCTCAGTCACAAAGTTGGGATTTCCATACTTCACAAGATAGTAGTAGAAAGTAACTGTAGGCGGCTAGGTAGAGGCTGCCCATACATTATTATGAATTTGAAGTAGAGGCATCATTGTTACCATTGACATGATTCAACAAAATGCTTTAGGGTGGAAAATAACTTGCATCTTTAAAGTGTGCTTTACCTGACTTGTTTCTTTGAGGACCGGATGATCTGTGGTACCTTGGATGTTTACCTGTACAAATAATACCAAGTACAGTACTAATATATTAGCCAATGACTTTTTAAAAAATTATTAAATATAACTTTTCATTTGAGGTGTATACACTTACAAAATGAGATTCTGAAGAGTAATTTTCCAGAATAAGAAAGGTGGTATAGTTCTTTACAAAATGGTTTTCCAGAAATGTTAAAGTAAGAATTTGGGGTTTTTTTCTAAAAAAAAATAAAAAATAAAAAAAAACCCAAAGGTGTGGCAAATGTACAAAATGCCAAAAAAAGAGACCACCTCTTTTTTTGGTTTGGAGGTTGTCGATATTATGATAGCGTTTGAACAGGATTATTTGGTCAGAGTTAACGGTTTGTAGCTTTGGTTTAAATTTGGAGGGTTCTTTGTTGCATTTCAACAGCTGGATTAGAAATAAAAGCTACATTGGTTGAAAATGAAGTTGAGGTAGCTTTAGTGCTGTAGAGTCACATAGCTACTCTCTCTTCTGTATGGTTTATAAAACACTTTGCCTAACCCTATGCATGCTTTTATGAGCAACTCTTTAACCATTAGAAGAATTAGAACAGTTCCATTTATCTTGAAGTAACGTAGTCTCATAAATAGATGTGGAAATGCATGTAGTGTCTTTTTTTCCCCCTCAGGAAAAATTTAAAAGCAAATTTCAGAAATAGTGCTAATGTTGATCTTTTATTAATTATATTTCATGTCCCAGTCCATCTGGTATCAGCAAACGTTGAATATATTTGAGTTCCTACAAGTGTTTTGGCAAACTGTATACAGTAAATGCTTTATACTTAGTCTTAGCAATTATGAAAATAGACTTGGTTGTTAGAAATAAGTTGCTTGTTTAGGACACTAAGAGTTAAAGCAGTTTAGCTTCTGTGATAAGTATCACTTTTTGAGAGAGCTTTTTGCTCGTGAAAGACTAGTGATTAGAACTGGAGCCTGAAATACTGTTTGCAAGCCAGGCACTATGTGTTTGTGACCTTACAAACTGTTATCCATATATTTTTTTCATGTGCAGGAAGATATCTGTAACTGTGGTTATTTAGATTTAATGGAGGATAGTAGTTAGAGAGTTACAAATTGCAACCAATATATAAATGTTGGTGATTTTCATGTTAATTCACTATCATATAATTTCAGAATGGCTAGAGTATGAGAAGAGGTAGTGCAGTGTCTGCCTTGAAAAATGTCCATGAAAATTTGCCATCCCAATACAAACTGTTCATTCCCACTTTACAGTGACTGGAGGAAACCTGAAACACATACCGTATTTGCCCGTTGACAACAAAATTACCTAGTCAAATAGGGTTTTGCAAGACTGTTAGGCATTTGACATTCCAAAATCTTGTATGCTCTCCCACCTCTACATTTATGGGCCTTTACAAAGCTACTTTTAACTTTGAATTGAGAAGCAGTCATTAACTAGGGCATCTATTACTAACTCTTCTTAAAGTTTCTTTTAAACATTTGCAGCTTTATTTAGTTCCTGTTCCTTGGACAAATTCCACATTCTAGAGTCTCTATACCAAATGCAGTAGCACAGCTAGTAAAAGTTATATTGCTCTTCAAACTTTGATATCTGTAACATTCCTGTTCTTCAACAAACCTGCTGATAATGGTAAAACATGCAAACCTGCTGAGTGCTCCCAGCACCTAAACTAGGGAAATTGACTGACACTTAGGAAAATAAACTCTTTAGTCTGAAGGACTTATGTTTTTTTTATAAAAGACGTTTGCTGCCCTTGCCTTCCTGATAGGAAGAGGCAATTGGAACATTCCTCTCTATAAAACATCCCCAGTTATGGACACACTTGCTTCTGTAGTGGACAATAATTCATTGGCCCATAATTTAACAGTGTTATTTCCTTAATACGTCCATGTTTTTCCAAGATGCCCACAGGTTTATATCTTTGAGGTTTTTGATACCTTAGGGAAAAAGGAATAAAAAATTCAATTAAATTTGCAAATCTGTTGACTCTAAAAGTAACTCCAGATTGCAGACTAGCTTAGTTGTGTCTGAATTGCAGAATCCTTTTTCAGTCCTTTATTTACTCATGCCTAGTAAAACAAAATGGTTCTAGAACTTATCATGAGTGTTTACATTAACTAAAATGGCATCTCAAGATTTTTGTGTATAATTTAAGTTCAAATCTTTGTTTTTGAACCATAAACATTCTTTTGATTTTTTTTGCCTCCAGTTTTATTTATTTCTCAAGTGCTGTTTACATCTAAAGTATTGTGAAGACAGTATTGCCATTTGTTTATAAAATATTTTTATGAAAAGAAGATGAATATCTGTACCATTGCTTTATGTATTCACACAGAGATCCTCTTGCTGCTAAGGATCTGTTTCCAATATTTGTAACATGGAAAGTTGATATCTGGGAAGGGTGTTAAGACTGTCAGTGGTTCTGCTTCTTGGCATATACCTATAGCATATCTACTAATAGACACACATGTAGTGGCTCATAGTGATTTTAGACTATAAAGTGAAAACAAAATATTTCATATGCTTTCATTCAGAGTTTCAGAACAACAACGGTGTACTCTTAAAGCAATCCTGGCAACTTGAATTGTTTTAAAATTGTTTGTTTTTCTGTTCCCCTGCTGTTAACAAGTCTTGGTGTTTGTTTTTGCAGCAGAACAGTGACCCTGAATAATGCTAAACTTTGTCAAGCTTGCTGTGCCTCTCCTTTTATGACCTTACATATCTGCCTTATCTGTTTCAGTTAATCTGTGGTTTTGACAGATGCCCTGTTATAGAGGGTGGGGCAGAACCCCTCAGAGTTCCCCCTCAAAACAGGATGCCTGTGATGTCACCAGGTTAGTGCTTTATACGGGAAGCCCACAAAACAGACCTTGAAAAGTAAATAAACTAAATCAAACTTTGGGTGAATCTTTCAGTTACAAGGAATACCTGAACCATAGTCAGATTTACAAATGGAAGTCATTTCCTATCCCCGCTCCCCCACCCCCCAAATGATTTGTCCCTTTTAACTTGACTATAGAGACTCTGTGGCTTCATGTTTGAGGTAAAGGTGTAAATTCAGGCTTAGATTTTTAGCATATATAATGAAAGTGACTCTCAAAGGGGAAAAATGTCCTTTCTTAGTGTTGTGACACACAAAAAATGGCAGCTGCCTTATGTGTTCAAAATATCAGTTCTTGATTCTCTTTGCTGGAGGTTTCTTTGGAGGATTGGGAAATTAGTGGGATTGTGGCACTTCCAGAGAACTTGAATTTAAAGAAAGGGGATTTTTAATCAGACTTTTTCAAGATAATATAATGCAGACATACTCCTGACGCAGACTTGGAAGACTAGTCTTTATCCAAGATTCAAAACCTCTGCTTTTCAACTGCGGACTCAACTCCACTTCTTTATTTCTTTTAAGAGGTCCTCCAGCAAAACCAGGACAACTCTCAGTAGTTCAGGGGTATTGATAATTAATAGGCCCCCAAATCCTCAAACTTTCAGGACTGACTTAAGAGCCAGATCTTGCAAGGTGTTAACACGCAGCTTGATCCAGCAAAATATATGCTTAACTTTTTAAGCGCATGTGTAGACTCATTAGCTTCAGTGAGATTACTTGTGCGTCCCTGAATCTGAGTCAGTGCTCTTAGCACCTTGTAGAACCAAGCCCTTACATGCTAAATAAGGGCACGTGATTTTGTTTCCTGTTGTAGGTCGCATTAACTCTCCATGCAACATATGGAAAACATGGTCCAGTAGAATATTTATCATTTAAAATAAACATGTTTCAAGTAGCCACTTCTGTAGAGATGGCATCAAATCTAGGATGTTGGTATTCCTGGTTTTATGTTAGATAAAGCAGAGCTCCATGAAAATGATCTGGAAATACCAAATGCCAGTGCTAATATAGTAAATAAAACCTTTTTATAAGTTTCTAACCCCAAAACTTGGCTATTTTATAAATGTGTAGATTGTTCAGTGTAGCAATTCTTGATCTGTTTTGCAACAAGGCTAACTATTCTTTTTTTTTAATTTTTTCATGTAATGAAAAAAAAATCCCACCCCAAACAGACAAAAAAAGCCACTTAGGGGAATGGTGTTAGTGGAATTTACTGTGGTGTTGAACAAAATTTAATATTTAAAATAGCATTAAAATCTGCATAACTACTAGGACAGCAATGTTAGGTACTTATACACTTCAGTGCTACACTGTTTCAGTACTAGTTGTACAATTTCTAATTAGTACAACAAAATCAGGTTAATTCAAATTGTCTGAGTTTAATGGAAGTCCTTTTGTAGACTTCAAGTACTACGTGATAAAAGTAATGAATAGTCATTTGTCCTTCCTGTATTTTTCCTACTTGAGAAGATTAAGAAAACCTTTTTGTCAAGAAGGCTTTTTCCGTTTTTTATTGCTTTATTCTGAATCATTTAGGATTCTTTAAGAGAAAGGTCACCCATTGTAATTATAAAGCCAACATAGCTTTGTGTAGGGTTGCCCGTTTGTAATTAGTAGATACCCCATCAACTGACACTTCTTTGCCTGCCTATAGAAGCCCTTTTATGTCAAGGATTAATTGGTAGACCACTAATAAATCTCTCTCTCTCTCTCTCTCTGTCTCTCTCTCTCTCTTTCTTTTCTTTTCTTTTCTTTTCTTTTCTGGTATTCTTTTGAGACATGGAGAGATTTTGAAAGATTATCTGATTTTTTTTTTTTTAAATGATTGACTGAAACAGTGTGTTGATATGGGCAAATTTGATATGGATTTAACCTACAAAATAGTTGTTGACTGTAAATGTCTGACTGAACACTAAAAGGTACCATACTGTATTAAACCCCATTTTCAGTCATCCATGTGGTAGTGTCTGATAATGCTCATAACTTGAGCCACACCACACGTGTGCTATGTTGAATGGAATGAACATAGTTCTAGTTGATGTACATTTTCAGAACAGAGCTGTGGTTGTTGTGTAAGAAATTAAAATAAGCTTTTCAAAGTGGAACTTCTTGAATTTGTGTATTGGCCCCATGATTTAAGTAGGGACTTTACTGTTCAATTTAAGGTAATTTAATTTTACTGTCTACTTGCATTCAATTGTAGATGACTTCTTATACAGGGGAATTACAGACTACACTAATGTACAGTGGTTAGCATAAACAGGTATATAAAACTTGTTCTTAAAGTTTTTGGGGGAAGACATTTCTTTGCACTAAACACAGATCTCTTAGTTAAGTTTTTTCCCCTTCCTTCCACCCTACCCCCGTCACAGAAAATAGTATTACTTGAAGGTTTAAAAATTCCTGTGACAGTGAAGTTTGAAGCACAGTAATGTAAATAAGTAAATATTGTTATGACTTTAACATTAAACCCGGATTTAATTAATATATTATTTTTATCTTGTATTAAAACAACTATTTAAAAGCATTACAAATAAAATCTTTGGAAGATGGCTGAAGACTGCTTTTTTTATTTTAAAATGAGGTGGCTGGTCAAGTATCTACTGAGAGATTGGTGATGGGGGGCCCCCAAGCTGTATCTTATATTTGTAAACATGTAAAATAGTGACTAGAATAAGGGACTTGGTGTCAGGAATCATGGCCTTGGGACTGTCAGCCTTCCTGTGTGTTACTTGACCTCTGTCAGCCCCATCCCCCTTTATTAGTACCTCCTTTGCATAGTCCCACCCTCCTGACTCCTTCGTCTTTCCTAACCCTCAGTTTCTAACTCCTTTGCATTCCTGTGTAGCTGCTTCCACTTCATCCTTGCTACCTGGATACATGGGTGTGTGTTGAGGGGCGGGGGGACAGACACCGCATAGAAGACATGGTCTGATTGTCACTGCCCTCACTGTGTATGCCTGCTGCCACAGAGCCTCACCCCCAACCTAGTAGCAGGGAGGAGCAATTGCAGGGTAATACTGGCTCTGTTCCTGAAGCCCTAGGATGAAGCATACTTGGTACAGTCTCTGGAGAATTTAGCTGCGCACGTTTTTCCCAGGTTATGTATGACATGATCAAATTTGGGTGAATTTTCACAGGATCAGGAAAAGCCACATCTGTGATGGGTTCCCTGCCCCCCAACACGTTAGACCCACGGGCCAAGCCATGGTAGAATGACCCTAGAGCAGTGGTGGACAACTTGTGACCCATTAGGAGCTCTGCATGCTCAATCCCTCTTGTGCATTAGGGACCCTGCACTCACCTACACCTCCCCTGCCCTCCCAGAACTTCCAGAGCGCTGTGAATCAGTTGATTAGTAGCGTGCAAGGTGTGTGTGTGTGTGTGTGTGTGTGTGTGTGTGTGTGTGGAGGGGCGCAAATCAACCAATTCCTGGCGCACTGGAAGTGCTGGGAAGAGAGGGGAAGGAGAAGGGATGGGTCGCGCTCTGGGAAGGAGGCAGGGAAGAGGCCTGGTAGGGATTTGAAGAAAGGGGTGGAGTGGGGATGGGGTCTGCAGTGGAGGGGAGGGTCGAGCAGCCCCTGGGCAAGTGAGAAGCGACCCATTTAAAGCAAGGGCACGTGCGAGGGGCACACTGATTGCACACAAGCTCCCTCTAATTCTTTGTTACTTTTGCTGGCAACTTCAGGTGCTCCTGCTAATGGGTCCCTTTGGGTTGAAAAGGCCTGAGAGAGGAGAGCCAAGTGCAATGTGTTTTATCTTGTTCTTGGGGTCACGTTTAGTGCACGTGCCCGAGTTCAATCGTGCGGCCCAGTGAGATGGGGCCACTCCTGCAGCCCGTTTGCTAGCCTTGGTTGCCCATCGTGGCCCTAGCACTTCGCAATGAGAGGGTTGCTCTTAGTTCTCCACTCCCCCTTTATGCATTGCATAAAGCTCAGTTGAAAATAAGGGTGAGCAGGTCCTGCTTGATCCAGGTAGTCCCATGCGGCAGTAGTGTTCAATCGTGCGGCCCAGTGAGATGGGGCCACTCCTGCAGCCCGTTTGCTAGCCTTGGTTGCCCATCGTGGCCCTAGCACTTCGCAATGAGAGGGTTGCTCTTAGTTCTCCACTCCCCCTTTATGCATTGCATAAAGCTCAGTTGAAAATAAGGGTGAGCAGGTCCTGCTTGATCCAGGTAGTCCCATGCGGCAGTAGTCCCTAATAAAGAGCCCCCCTCGCCCCCTCCCGAAAGGTCTCTGCATTGGGTCCCAGCCAGCCAATGCCACAAGCCGTCCAGTGTTGCAGTTGGAACTAGGCTGACTTCCAAATGACAACCATCCCAGGGAGCTGCAATGTCTTCTTTGCAGAGATCCCCTTCCCCCCCAAACACACACACATGCACGGTACAGCCTTCTGGGCAGCGATCCTCAGGCCTGTAGCCGGGGAATGTCCGCTCCAGGGCTGCCAACTCACCACACGGAAGGTGGATTTTGGCTGCCTCTGAAAGGCTCAGGATTTCCCCCGCTGCCTGTCCTGCTTCTCTTCCGCCGGAGGCAAACAGAGCTGCTGCAGGAAACAGCAATGAGGGGAGGGAACAGCCAAGGCCATTCGCCCAAGGATGAGAAGAGGGAGCAGAAAGAGAGCTCGGGATGGCTCCGCTCCTCCTTGCCCAATGAAGAATAGGCCGGCCTGCTCTGCTTCTTCCCCTGGCGCAGCTGCAGAAAGAGCAGAGGCAAGCTGGGCAGCAAAGGGCAAATGTGCGGAGGGGAAGATTGTTATTGTGGCAAGAAGCAGATGAGGGGAGCTCAACATTGTGTTTGGAGGAGGGGGGACGAGGCCCCTGTTGAATTTCTGTGGTGGCCAAAGTTGAATTTGTCCCTACAAGTTGCCAGTACTCATGGTCACACGCAGAGAGGTATTGTACCAGACAACTGAAATCACACACGTCACAGGAGTCTCTCATGCCTTGTGATCTTTGCACGGCTGGGGTGCCAGTTCTGCTCCGGGAATGGGTTGGCGGTACTCCAGCAGGGTAAGTTGTACACATAGCCTGTGTCTAGACTACATGCCTCTGTCAGCAGAGGCATGTAGATTAGGGTTATAGGCAAAGGGAAATGAAGCTGTGATTTAAATGATCACGGCTTCATTTACATTTACATGGCTGCCGCGCTGAGCCGACAAACAGCTGATCGGCTGTTTGTCGGCTCGCGTGCTAGTCTGGACGTTCCCCCTGTCAACATCAAAGCCCTTTGTCGGCAGCCCCGTTACTCCTCGTGGAATGAGGTTTACCGGGGCTGCTGACAAAGGACTTTGATGTCGACAGGGGGAACGTCCAGGCAGCCCCGTTATTCCTCGTGGAATGAGGTTTACCGGGGCTGCCGACAAAGGGCTTTGATGTCGACAGGGGGAACGTCCAGACTAGCGCGAGAGCCAACAAACAGCTGATCAGCTGTTTGTCGGCTCAGTGCGGCAGCCATGTAAATGTAAATGTAGCCACGATCATTTAAATCGCAGCTTCATTTCCCTTTTCCAAAACAACAAATCTACATGGCTCCGTCGACGGAGCCATGTAGTCTAGACGTACCCATACACACAACCCCCGGAGGGTGAGCTTTTGGCCTCACTCCAGAAGAGCACCAATACCAGAGTGGCCAACTCAAGCTATGGAGACGACGCTTGCAAACTATATGAGTCAACATAGCGGACCTGGGGCCAATAAAAGACCAGGTGGTGAGCAGTCCTCAGTAAAGGGCTTATTCACCGTAACACGGGTGTCAGAAACGGAGGAGAGAAGGCTGGTGCAGCAATCCATTGCAGGGAGACAAATACAAAGCACCACTCCAGCCTTCCTGCCGTGGGGGAGAGTCCCTCTCCCTGTTTACACTGAACAAAGATGCTAATGATGATAACATGGTATTATCCCAACAGCTCCTCCGCCTCCCCTCTTCACCATGGGGCTCTGCCTCGAATGGGGGTGGGTGATAATGTTTGATTGGTGGGGGGCTCTCTGAGAATTTGGTAAGTGGTCAAGGGCCACACTTTTCTATGGAGGGGATACGGGGTCTGGGATGAAGGCGGGATGCAGAAGGGAGCTTGGGTATGGGATTGAGGTGTAGAAGCTGGTGTGGGGCTTGGGAGGGAATTTGAAGGAGGGGGTTTTGACCCGGGATAGGAGGTTGGGGGTACTGCTGGGGGTGCATAGTCTGAAAGGGTGGGTGGGGAGAAGAGAAGTTTGACCTGAGGGGGTGGTGCAGAGGATTTGGGTTGTGATGTGGGACAGGGAGTTGTGGTGTGGGGAGGGAGTGGTTTGCCAAGTGCAGGCTCTGGCCAGTAGGCACTTACTTTGGACGGCTCCTGGCCAGCAGCCCAGCGCAATCCTGGGGCAGGCTCCCTGCTTGTGTCCCGCAGGCCTCTCAAAGCTGCTGGGGTCAGCCTATGTGTTTCTGTCCCGCCAATGGGAGCCGCGATGATTGTGCTGCGGTGGGGGCAGTGTGGGAAGCTCTCCCCAATGGGACATGAAGCAAAGGCACACAGGCTTTGAGTGGCGTGCTGGGCACAGCAGGCAGGGAACCTGCCCCCAGGGTTCCACTGGGCCACGGAACATGGGTGGCCTGGAGTATCGGGGCGGGTCAGATACTGGCGGCATTATTGCCCATAATACTTTGGCAGGCTGCATTATTGCCCATCCCTGGCCTAGAACTTTCTCTGGGTTCTTTTTGCCTGGCTTCCTTGTGCAGTGGAGAAACAGTCCGGCTGTGTCTACACAGGCGCGATCTCGTACCACAGCGGCCACTCTTGCGCAAACACTTGCTGCCTGTCTACACTGGCCACGTGTTCTTGCGCAAGTAAACTGACATTCTAATGTATAAAATCAGGGCTTCTTGCACCAGAACTCTGACGCTCCCGCTCAGGAATAATCCCTTTGGCACAACTGTTTTTGCGCAAGAGGCCAGCGTAGACAGGCAATATGAATTTCTTGCGCAAGAAAGTCCTATGGCTAAAATGGCCATCAGAGCTTTCTTGCGCAAGAGAGCATCTACATTGGCATGGATGTTCTTGTGCAAAAGCACATCTCTTGCGGAAAGGCACATGCCAGCGTAGATGTTCTCTTCTGGAAGAGTTTTTGCAGAAGAACTCTTCCGCAAAAGAAATTTTGCGTGAGAACGCGCCAGTGTAGACGTAGCCTAAGTGTGTCTCTCTTGGGGCACGTCTACACAGCAGGGCTAAAGTCAAATTCAGCTGCGCAACTTCAGCTATGTCAATTGCATAGTTGAAGACAAAATAGTTTAATTTGGCTTTTGGCGCTATTTGCAGAGCAGGAAGTTGACAGAAGAACGGAAATGAGAGTAAGAAGTCCCCCAGCTCGATATTATTTCGAAATAAAGGCTTGTAGTGTAGACGCGCTCTGTGTTATTCCAGAATAACATCAGTTATTCTGAAATAATGCTGCTGGGTAGACATACCCCTATAGACCTTAAAGGCACAAATCCCCTCCTTCGGCTGTGCTGCTTTATGAGGTCTGCAAGAAACATTTCTCTAACCCTTTGCACCTTTGTGTTGTTTAGGTTCCAGGAGCACCTAGGAGCCTCAACCATGACCAAGGACTCCTTGTAGACTGCATGGGTACATGGTAAAAGAGAGCCCTACCCCAAAGTGCTTCCAATCTTCATAAGCAAGACACACAGGCTGTGTCTAGACTGGCCAGTTTTTCCGGAAAATCAACCGCTTTTCCAGAAAAACTTGCCAGCTGTCTACACTGGCCGCTTGAATTTCCGCAAAAGCACTGACTTCCTACTGTAAGAAATCAGTGCTTTTTGCGGAAATACTATGCTGCTCCCGTT